TTTACAGAGCCCGTGATTCCATTACTAAATATAGGATTTATTTTTAGGTTGGAGCTAGTTGTAGTTTGAATCGGGAATCTATTCCAAAATCAGATTTCTAGGAGGTTCGTAATCTATACCAGCATAAATACTGATTATTTCTATACGGCTATTGTTCTTAATCACACATTATATCTTTTATTAGGAAAGTTTTACAAATAGTTTAAGCAAATTTCCACATCAGCTGTCAATTTTCTAAAACACCAGAATTTCATGAAACGATAGTGTTTTTTAATTTTTCTACAACCATGTGTAAAGGCTAATAATTTCATCATATTTGTCACAAATAGTTAGAAATTTCATTTGTTATGTTATAATTTTAGGAATAAAAATGGCGAATGATATAATAATGAGAGGCAAAGACAGATTACATGAGATTAGTATGAAATTGGAACAGAGTCATTTGGTGTATCTGCAAACGGATGATAGCCCTTTAAAACTACAACAACGACATAAATTGGAAGGTAGTATATATTAAGTCATTACTAATGTTAACTTTTCTTTAATTTATATATATATATATATATATATAATACATTAATTTCAGGCTTTATAAAGGAATATCTTTGTCTAGTACCCAATGAGAATAAATACGTGTTTCAAGAAACAGCAGATATTTTACACAGATCAGCAGCAACAGTAACAGATTTCAGTGGGTATAGAGCAGCAACTGCTTGGAGTGCAATTTCCTTGTATGCGGCTAATCTATTGGCTCAGCCTTGGCGAAAAGAATATAGGATAGTGAGGGTAACTACCTAAAATGTATCTTGTCATTAGCCTCTATTTTGCTACATGATTTAACATATACAAATTTTTTAATTGTTTTAGACATACAGCGGCTATTATAAACATGAGGTAGAGGCAAATTTAATAGGTGCCGAGTTAATGTTTGAGCAGATGGGCTATAAGCACACTGGTTTGGGTATACTGACTTTGGAAGGGCCAATCGATCCTGATAAGGTTTCAAACGTCAGTAGGGATGCTATTGTAGCTTTTGTAGAATGTCAGGTAATAGAAAACAAATAGTTAATGTAATTGGTCAAATAAAAATAATGCAATTACTCAACATGCAAAAGTTGCAATTGCACATGTTAAAGCAGATGATAAAGTTATTTTTAAATTGTAGATTTTAAAGCAGATATGGGAAAGTGTGTCACAGAAATACACCATTTCTTGGCTGGAGGTATTGGAGTTTCGTGAGAATCATGTTGGTACACCAGAGCAGGCCATTCGAGCGCTAAACTATCGTTTCCTCGAAAAAGTGCATCAAAACCGCACAAAGGTCGATAACTATAAGGATTATTATCAGCAACAAATGGGTATAGACGTCGTGCCATTGCATCTGCCTTATCATCACATTGTGCATGCTAATTACAACGCAACAATGCCGTCAACCTATCAAACAGATTATCGGCACATCGAAGATACGACAAACATGGCAGTGCCGACTAATTATCGATATTATCAACCAATCAATCATGGTTTCATCAATTGTTGCACTAGCTACGGTTGCTTGCCCTCTCATAGCAACAAGTTTTATGGTAATAGTATGCAACCGAATCCATATTGTGCCACGTTACCAGCATATGCAGCTCGAGTACCAACCGGTAGACTGATAGAACTCGATGTACCGGTGTCAGTGGCAAATTATGAAAAAACACACACTCTCCGTAAACCTATGTCCCATCGGATATCGGACCTGGATGAGATAGACTTTTATAAACGGCAATCGAGCAACGGGGATCATTATGAACACAGTAAAACTGATAGAAAAACTGCTAGCAGATCGAATTCCAGTGCTGGAAAAGATGGTTATGATACGTGGGACTTTGTGTACAGAAATCTTGAAAGCTTAGGTTACTACAAAGATCTCGATGATCGAGACGATGTGTTACAGCATAAGAAGGAGTTGGATTCTATTCGTATCAAGCACAAGACACTTAGGCAAACGGAGAACGAAGACAAGTATAGCGCGCATAAATCGGAGAAGAAAAAAAGCAGCGGTAGGATTGAAGCGAATGAGATCGATTCGTCCGAAACAAACGGCAAAAATCATCAGGATATTCTACCTTTCAAGAAAAAATCCTCATCCTTTGATTTATCAGATTCGAATAGATATAACATCGATGCAAATAATAAAGATAAAAAGCACAACAGTCAAACTTTACCAATTCCACGCACACACAAATCTTCGGATCAGATAGCGAAGAAGATTGCAGATTCCTTTAAAAATCTCGATATCGCGCAAATGAGTAAACAGAAAAAGGAAGAGGCAGAGGATGGAAAGAGATGGAATTGTGCCACGTGTACATATCTAAATATGCCCGATCGAGACATATGTGAAATGTGCGCAAAATCGAGATGCAAAGGAAATGAGGACAAGCCGCTCGCCAGCGGCGGCAAGGAGTGTCCAAAATGCACGCTGGTAAACGAGAAAAATGTTTCTATCTGTGATGCTTGTCATACCAGTCTGAAGGATTCTCCGACCTATATATAAATAGACTGAAACGCCTGAAACTTCGCGAAAGAAGGGATTCTCGCACATTTGCCACAATTTGCAGTTTACGCAAAGGTATCATATTGTGTGTAAAATATAAAATTATTGATCGAACGAATTATACGTACAACATAAATCCTTTTTTAACGACCTAAGATGAGACGTGAATACAGAAAAGTTAGAGACATAATTTGCATTGACTGTTAATAACACATGCGAATCTTGATCTTCAGAGAAGGTACAAAGATATTTATTTAAAATTGTCTCGAACAAGGAAAATCTTATAACGATTTTCTTTCTATTAGTATTATTATGTTATGAGGCCTATTGAGGATAAGTATTGAGTAAGTTCAGAGTCGTAACTATTAGCATTATTGTAACATTTGATAGTTTGTCATTAAAGAATTAAATTTAATCAGATATTAGGCCAAAGCTTATAAAATTAATGTTATCAGGATTAATTAAGGGGATGCTGGAGGGATCCAATTATCGACATTGCAGTTTGATCAAAATCTCCGAATTGACTAAATGGAATAAAAAATCCTTTTATAGGATTAAAGTAAACGCAAAATCCTGACGTGATGCAGTGGATATTATACTAAAATCGAAAAAAGGTAAAACATTTTTTGAACTTTTTTTTTATTTTAGTATAAAATCCACTGCACCACGTCAGGATTTTGCGTTTACTTTAATCCTATAAAAGGATTTTTTATTCCATTTAGTCAATTCGGAGATTTTGATCAAACTGCAATGTCGATAATTGGGTCCCTCCAGCATCTCCTTAAAGAATACGCAAGACACGCTAAGATGTTACTTGTTCAAAAAGTATTTAATATTATATGTTTGTCTTCATATATATATATATATTTCCTGTATAATTATGCCATTTATGGTCTAAATTAGAATTTTTTATCAAATTTTGTTCCCTGCAAATAAATTGAGAGAGAGAGAGATTTAATATAGTTTCTAAAAGAGAATATTGCAATAAGGTAAAAAAATTAATTATTGTTACCATACTGAATAAATTTTATATAGTGCCACTCTACACGATTGACAAAATTATTTTTAAAATAACGATTAATAGAAAGAGAGAATTTCTTTGGTTTGCAAATGATAGTCTATGCAATGTTATAAACTGAAGGTTTTTTAACAAGTTCTACAAAAGAAAATTAGACATTTGCCGTAAAGATACAAGAATGTTAAAGCTTTATCAGAATGTACTATATATAAATTACTAATAACGTATTGTATTATTGGTTGCAGATTATTGTTATATACATCACTATTGTAATAATACACATTGTGCTATATAACTGGAAAGAAAACATTATAAACATATAAATATAAGGATTTTTTTTATATTATTGGGTGCATTCTGTTAGTTTGATGAAAAGTCTCATCAATACGACAGCATCCATATTAATGTGTATTGAAATCATATAGAAGTAGTTATTTTATTTATTTAAAAGTAGTAATCACGTAAATACTTATTTATTCATACATTCCTTATTCATCAAACCATTAAAACTCGAAATGCGATCTGCTTATTAAATACTGTTTATTAACATATTTCTGCAATATTTGTTTCGTTTTATTTAACATTGTTTTAGATTGTTGTATTGTATATAATTTTGTACGTACGTTAGATAAGTAAAATATTGTGTTTTTATAAGCTTGTCGACATTGCACAAAATGACACGTAACCAATTAGCTTACAATTAGTGTAAAGTATTTTGAAAATGAAGAAAAAACTTTTGCTCAATAGAAAAAGATGTATAACAATGCTTGAGCTAACGTACTTTAATTTATGTTTAACTATATCCAGCTTTTGTATTAATAGTATAGTGTAAATGAGAGGTTTTTTATATATTGACTGTACTGGCTTAGCCTAATTTAATACGTCAGAATAAGAGAATAAATGATTCTCATGGTGACGTTAAAGCTTCTTGTATAGGCAAAACATTGAGATATTGATAATTAATAAAATAAGATAATTGGCACTTGAGAGAAAAATGAAAATTTAGTACAATAATAATCCTCGTGCTTTTCTTAAATAAGAGTATATGTATTTCAGATATATGCTCTATCTCGTGTGCACGCGCGCGATATAGCACAAATAATTTTTAAAACTATTTGTAAAAGGCTGATATCAATCATAGTAGAATTGATATTTTTTCATCAATAAAATTACGTGAAAGTATGATAAATAAAATAAACAAATGGAAAGCATGCATGAACGGTTATGTCTTAACATCTTGTAGAGTTTATGTAAATTAAGTAATGATCCGTTGTATACAAGTAATGTAATATGCATATTATATATTTCTGTAAAATTTTTATTAGATACATTATCAGAAAAATCACTTTTATATAAAAACCAGATAATTATTTTTAATAGAATGCATGTATATTTAAATTATTCACACAAATAAACATATATACCTGGGAAAATTTATCTTATTTAATTTTACAAAGGAACAAATAATGAGATTACAACATAAAAATATTAATTATTAGCTGTCTTCATGGCTTTCTCTAAGCATTTGGAAGCGGCTTGATGAAGTTTTTTATCCATTTTATCTGTAATATAAAAGAATTTAATTCTGTTGCAATATATATTAATTATAAATAATGGAAATTGTTAATCATTTTTTATTGTTACTTACAAATTTTATGTTTTCCTTTCATAGGAAATTGTATTGGTAACATGTAAGAATTCTCACATATGAAGATATAAGGACTCTCATTCTCTCCTTCTGGATATAATTTTCTATATTCTTGTTGAGGTAGAACGTCAGTTACCGTTACACAGCCTAACAAGCAGCTCGTAGGATAATTTTCAGGGAATTCAATTTTATCTAGAATCATCAAGATAAGTGTAATAAAGGATAAAATAAGTATTTCAAGATATACATATTAATTTTTTCTGACCATTTTTTGATATACAATAGGATTGCTTTATGTTAGATATTTCTTCGGAAGAAGGTACTTTAGCAGCTGATGCTATCCATAATCTTCCTCTATGTGAAGAATACCAACTTCTACCCTCATGACTAGTAACATTAAGATTATGTTAATATTATTCTGATTATATGAATTATTTTTTAATACATCACTTACGTTTTTATTCCTGCCACTAGCAAAGATGCATAAGGCTGATGCATGCTCAAACACAGACCTTGATCAAACATTTCTAGATATTCTTTATCTTGAATTCTGCCTTCTCTATTCCATGTGTGATTTTCAATTCGTGTGCTTGTCCTGAAGGTCCTTGGTCCCATCTCAACAAACTTAACACAATAACAATATATAAAAATGTATAATATAATTGTTTAGGCTTAATAATAGAAATAAACTTCTGCATAATTTATTATTAAAATGAACTAAACTGTAAAAAATTACAATCTTACTGTTGGACGATCAAATTCTATCGTTGGACAAATATTTGTATTTTCAAAGTCGTCATATGATATTGTTTCGTCAAGTTCTTCTGATTGCAAGTTAATGGATTGATCTTCATCAACTATCACTCTTCCCATAAAATCTATAGCAACTTTTCTATCTAAACGCGATGTATGCTTGCGTGCTAATTCTTCCTCTTCTTGCTTCTGTAACTTCTTACGCTCATCATGGGATAGCCAAATACTATTTGACTGATAATAGTCGGATTCATCATCAATTACTTTGGTACGACGGGCACTATAAATTATTTTTATGACAATTAATGTATAGAAAATTTTTAGAAATACAAAAAATATATACCTATTGCGATCAAATTCGAGAAGTTTATCTCTTTGTTTAAGAGAGTCTTCGAGATTTTTATATGGTTTTTGATCCATCAATTTATTATACAAGTTATCACCCTGTTTAGTATTGCTTCCAAGTAATACTTGTTCATCCGGAGAACAAACAAGTTCTCCACAACAGAAACATGGTCCTGAGCCTTCTTGTACACAGACTATTCTTCCACAATTAAGACAGTTGTTAATCAATGCATGTCTGTTTGCTTCGCAATCACATTTATGTCTTCCTGAAAAAAAAAATTATTTACACAAAACATTGCTAAATATATATTTGTACAAATTTATTATATAAATAATTTTCAAGAGAATATTTCCATGAGACAATAAATTAACAAATTTAGTCTTTTTCTTTTCCACTTTCTCAGATTTTGGCTCTGGTTTTACAGCTTCTTGCACCTGCAAAAATAATGCACAAAATATTCAAACAGTTATTCAATTTATTTGTTATGTAATCTCCTGGAAAAACATAGACTATATACTTGGTTATTTTTTTTTCCCTTTGCTTTTCCTCTTTTCTTATCATTTTGTTTTTTGGGTATATTATCGCCATCATTTATCTTTTTGTATCCAGTTTGATTATTATAAGAGGCTGAAACAATGTATATGAATAAATATAATAATTTACCAATGATCTGGCAGTTTTTCAGAACATATCTATATAATATTAGTTATTACTCACCACGTCTCTTTTTCAATTCTGTTACAAATTGTCTGTGAGCTGGATTTTCATTATTCAATAAAGTTGAAAAGTACTCATCTAAGTCTCTTTCATTTTCTATCTGCAGAATAAACCTAAAAAATTGATAATATAATAATTAATATTATGCAAATATATATATAGATTTTTATTATCCACTAAACTTACTGGGTCCAATCATCTGAGACTGGAAAATCCAATAATTCCGACAACTTCTCTTGCATCCATTTCTCCATGATTCTTGTAGCGTTTTCTTTTGGGATACACTGGGTGCAGTCTCATACCGCACCAGTTGCGTGTACTTGCATAACGCATAACACATAATGCATAAGAATATATACCAATCAAAGTTCTCCGTTTCTTTCCCTTCCATGTAAAAGAGAACTCTGGTTGGTTCAATTTCTTATGCCTCATGTGTTATGCGTTATGCAAGAGTCTGTGCTCCCC